GTGAAGGTTTCATATGACACAAAAAAGGTTAAGAACTGTTGTCCTAGAGGAAATCAGACTGAGGTTCAAGTTAGAAAGGCAGGTTAGAACTATATTGTGGAAGGGCTTGAATGCCAGGCTAAGAAGTTTGAACTTTATCAGATAACAACTAAGATACATTAAAGGACTTTGAACAGAGTAATGACATAATTAGATCCGTGAAGAAAAATAATTAATTAACCTGGCATGAATACAAAAATACTAATATTAGACGAGAGTAGAATCATAAAGACTGGTTATGAGGCTAGTGCAATAATCCAGGTGGGTAATAATCAAGGCTTATATTAAGATGGTACTAGGAGAAACAGAAAAAAGACTAGTGCAAGAGATATTATAGATTCAGATTCAAAAGGATATGAAAGGATATGAGAAGGGAAAAAAAGAAAAGGGTCAAAGATCATATCAACAATTAAACATGAGAAATTTAGCAAATGGTGGTCCTACTGAGAGAAACAGTGAATTCAGAAGGAATAAGAAGTTTTGAAGTAAAGATAAAAGGCTGATTTTTAATAAGCTGAGTTTGAGATACCAGTGGAACAAACAAGTAGATTTTTTTCTATATTCAATTCAATAAGCATTTATGAAGGACCTGCTATGTGCCAGATACTGTACTAGACACTATAGGAAATAGAAGATGTAGTCTGGGAGTTTTCTGCTCAATAGCAACTAGGTAGTGCAATGGATAGGAGGAAATGAAATCAGGAAGACCTGAGATCAAATCCTGCTTCAGATATTTATCAGCTTAGTGACACTGGGCAAGTTATTTAACCTTTCTCAGCCTCAATTTTCTCATCTGCAAAAGGAGGATAACAACAGCAACCATCTGTCAGGATTATTATGAGAATCAAGAGAGTTAACTTGTGTACAGTGCTCTGCAAATCTTAAAGTCCAACATAAATGCTAACTATTAGAAAGAACATACTGGAAGGGCAAGATTTGTTTTGCTTTTGTCTTTGTATCCCCTGTGCCTAGCACAATGCCTGGCTCAAATTACTTCATAATAAATCTTTATTGAATGAAAAAGTGAATGGATAAATGAATGAGATAGAAATTAGGGAGTCATCTAAATGAAGATAATAATCAAAATCATGAGAGCATATGTGATTACCAAGGGAGAAACCCAAGGAGAGAATACTGGAAAACATCCACTATAGTTTAAAAAAAAAAAAGGTGGGGGGTAGGGACTGGAGGCTGGGAGAAGAATCATCAAAGAAGCAAAGAAAAGAAAAAATTAGAAAAGAAGATCTACAAGAAGAGTACAGTGTCTCAAAAGCCAAAAGAAGAGACAATATCTAAAAGTATAGGTGGGTTAATAGCATCAAATGATGTGCTGTGACCACCATTCCCTTAATTCTTTCCCAGGCTATCATCCGGGCACTGGCTATGCTCGCCTCCTTTCCCTACCTTGACCTCTTGGTAAACCAGTTCATCTCTACACTATCCTCTTCTTGTGAGTCCTTTGCCTTCTTTTCCTATTGCTGATCTTGCCCTGCCAAGTCCAAGCCTTGAATTATTCCCACCATCTGCTGCCTTGGCTCCTAATCACATGCTGCTGAATAAAGTTAGGAAAAAAACACAAAACTGTGCTCAATGGGGTTCATTATGCATTTATGTTACACAAGCTCAACTGGGTCCTCATTGCAGCAAGGCAATCCTTTCACAATTCACTATTCTACTCATCACAGTCGCTTTTCCAAACCTCCCATGGCACCTTCTCCCCTGGCTTCTCAGCTAAGAACCTTGCCTCATATTTTGCTTTAAAAAAAAAAACAAAAAAAACTGAAGCCATTCACTACGAAGTCCCTCTTCTCCCCTCTTCCTCATCTTCTATCATCCAGATGCCTTCCGCCACTATTACCTCCTCCACTTGTCTCAGATGAAGAGGTGCCCCTCTCTCCTCGCATAAGTGATCCCATGCCATCTTGTCTTCACCAGCAAATTACCTTTGCTATCATCTCTACACTTTCATTAATCTTCAAACTCTCCCTCTGTCTGCTGGTTCCTTGCTGCCTACAGGACATATTCATGTTTCCCATCCTCAAAAACCTCACTTGATCCATCCATCCTAGACAGCTATCATCCCATTTCTCTCATTCATTTCATGTCTAAACTCCTTGAAAGGACTGCAATGGGTGTCTCTACTCTCTTTCCTTTCATTCTCACCTTAACTTTCTGCAATCTGGCCTTCAACCCCATCATCCCACTGAAACTTATCTCTCCAAAGTTATAAATATCTCTTAATTTCTAAATCTAATGGCCTTTTCTCAATCCTCATCTTTCTTGAGTTAACATATGTAAAGCACTTTGAAAATCTTAAAACGCATGTAAATGCTAGCTATTAGTATTCCTGACGTTTTTGCATTCTCTGACACTGCAGATCACCCTCTTGAATCTCTCTTCTCTCCAGGTTTTCAATGCACTGCTCTCTCCCTGCCCCTCGTCACTCTTTGTACAAAACATTTCTTTCATTTCTTGATTCTGTGCATTTTCACCAGCTGTACTCCCATACTATTGGTATCTTCTTCCTCCTCATCTATGCCTTCAGGCTTCCCTAGCTTTCTTCAAGTCTCAGCTAAAATCCCAACTTCTGCAAGAAGCCTTTCCTGGGTCTCTTTAACATTAGTTCCTTCCCTATGAGTTTATTCTGTACAAATCTTACTTATACAGTTATCTGCATATCATCTCTGCCATTTAATTGTGAATGCCTTAAAGGCAGGAGATGTTTTTGCCTTTTTTGTATCCCAGTGATTAGCATAGTGCCTGGTTCATAGTGTTGTTTGTCCTTCATTCTCAAAGAGGACCAATGACATCAGGAAGATGTCTTGCCTTGCAAGTGAATTAGCCTCACTCTCTTCTCTGGAGCCATCTGGGTCCGGTGGCAAGATATAGATCAGGATGACTAGAGATGGCCCCGGATAAGTCAATTCATAAATATTTGTTCACTTGTCAAGGACTGAGAAAAAAACTAGACTTGGTGGTACAGGGAAATAGTTAATAACTTCTGAGAGGGCAGTTTCAGCATAGTAGTGCGTAAGTACTTGGATTTCAACAGGTTCAAAAGGGATGAAGGGAAAGAAGTATAGGCATGAACAATGAGGAAATGGAGTCACAATTATAGATGACTTTTGAAGAAGTCTAGTTGTGAAGGAGAGGTAAGAGATTTGGTCACTGATTTGGGTAGAAGAGTTGAGAGAAAGCTTTTCTAGAATTAGGAAAACCTAACCAAATTTGTAGATAGATAAGAAAAAGGCAATGAAAGGGGTGGGATAGAAGAGGTTTAAAAGAGAGAAAATTACTGTAAGAGTAAGGTTTAATTTGTTGTAAAATAGAAGTAAGATGAATTAAACTTCCTGAAACTGTATATAATTAAAGTAAGTAGTAGAGAGCTGAGCTCAGGCTAGGTGAGGTGTTCTGTAAAAATATTTTTTTCAAAGTACATTTTATCCAGGAACTCAAAGTACTTTTCAAATAATAACTAATTAAGCTTCACAACAGTCTACCGAAAGGTGGTTAACAAAGCAAAGAAACTGTAACATTAACTGTTTATATAGCATAATAAAAAGTCAATAATCCTGCTACTTCAAATTTATTCCCTAAACTACTCCATTTTCCACTGCCCCAAATCTCTACCCTAAAGTTTAATGAAGACCTAATAAATGAACAAATTAATTTTCAGTGAATGGAAAATGGGGGTGGACAAGGAAAAAAAGCTAGAAATCCCAAGTAGTTATCTGGAAAACCAATTTATTCAAGTATAAGGTATAGTTTCTATACCAATGTTTTTCTTTTTTCAAAACAGACTATCAATTTCTGAGAAAGAACAAATTCAAGTACAAAATTTAAGCTGGCTAAAATTTCACATTTCAACATAAAGTCACATCTGAATCAATCTTTCCATTTATTGATAGCTAAATACAAATTAATACATTTCTAGATTACCTAGCTTTAATGATGAAGAATCAAACTATATAAGGAAAGTGTTCCCAATTTGTTTTATTTGTGAGGTTTCAAATATTAAATAAGTTTTTGGACTGTGCATACAAAATTACTTAAAATCAAACCTAACTTAGATAAAAAAGTAATTGTCAATGTTAATGTTACCACAATGACTCTTTCAGCTCTCAATTTCCTGAATTGTAGCCTACCACAAATATTAAGTACACTAATTGTGTAGAGAGTGTTGTAATACACAATGGGAAAGAAACAAAATTTATATTACATAGTCCCTGCCCTCGTGGAAGTTAATAGTCGAGGCAGGATAAGGAGAGAGGGAGAAAGAGACATGACACTAACTCAACTATAATACAAATTACATAATAAATATATCAGAGATTTCTTTAAAAAAAAAGTATCATGTGAAGTCTAAGAAAGTCTCACCAATAGGGATATTAAGGAAGACTTCTTGGAGGAGTTGGAATATGAGTTGGGATTAAGAGAACAGGTAAGAATTTAACAGAAGAGGAGAACTTTCCATGCACAGGCACAGGTATGAAATTTTAATGAGTGCGAAAAGCACTGAAGGGATGACAACACAGTATGCATTTTAGGGGAAGAGAATGATCCAGTTTGGTTATAGTATAGAATGTGTGTAGGAGAATATTGTGCAGAGATAAAACTAGAATAGTGTCTGATTATGATGGGTTTGAATGTTTGACAAAGAAGTCTGAACTCTGTAGACAACTAAGAGTTACCACAGATTTCTGAACAGCGATATAGCCATATCTGTGTATAAGAAAACTTATTCTGGCAGCAATATGTAGGATAGTTTGGGGAAAGGAGAGGGAGATGAGACTCCTATAAGGAGTCTAACTGTAATAATTCAGGCAAGGAATAATAAAGGCCTACAGTAGACCTACAGAGAATAGGGGATCGAAACAAGAGAATGTAAGGATGTGGGTCTACTTCCAAATTTTATATTCTACCACTCTAAAAATATGACTTAAAAGTGTCTCACAACGTACCTTGAGTATTCTTGTGGATATGGGGAGGAGTACCAGGTATGAATTTCGTATTTTCCAAACTCAATGACAGAGGGACAGCGAACTTGTGGATCAGGGGGACCAGTCACTCCAACTTTCTGTGCAGTAAAGAAACATATTACAGAAGTTAGCCAAATTAAGTACACTGAGTCCAAAGAAATATATGAGTTGTTCAGTTATTATCTTGCTGGAATTCCAGAAATTGGTAGAAATAGGTTATCAGGTTTTAGTATCTATATTACTCTTTAAAATAGGTCTCTGGGAGAAAATTTCTTAAAATAAGATGCTCTTGATATTACTTCACTTTCTATAAAAAGTCCACATATTTTAGTACTTGGCCAATATTTTCATCAAAGAATTCTGTTTACTGACTTGGTTTCTAAATGTACTATATATATTCCAAGAAAAATGAGTGATGTTGGGGATATTAATAAATACAATAAAAAGACAAACAGACTTGCCAAGGTTGCATACACTACCTTCAACACACAAAATGTAAAAGATTCTACACAGATAAAGAGATAGCTAAAAGAAGGAGAAATAACTTTCTTCCTTTTTTAGAGATACCTGACATTTAAGAATATCACAAAACACAAATATGAAAAAACAAATTCTCATAGCCATTAAAGTTTTCTTACAATTTACACCTGAAGACTTCACCATTTTATGTAATACAGTTGTTCAATGATATGTACATTTTATCCCTTTTCCTTCCAAGGGATATGCCAAGTGGCATGTTTTTTATAATTATATGGCCTAATCCACCCTTGGAGTATCCTATAAAGTTAGTCTATGCAGGGGAAAATAAGTTTAGCAGTTTCTATTAACTCTTTACTACAGTCTTCAATGGCTTTAAGGGGACATTCTTCAGTCTAAACAATTCAAACACAAGCCAATTTTTCAATACCTGAAGACTAGATTGTGAATTCTTGAATACAAATACAGTCCAGTATAGCACCTACTACAGAAATGCTGAAGAACTACTGAGAATGAGGCAGATTCTGAATTTAGTGCTTTTAACTTCTTCACAGACATATATCAGAAATTCATCCCCCACAAAGAACAGCTGTGTAAAACTTTACATGGGGGGAGGGAACAGAAACAAACAACCATTGCATAGATTAGGGTCATAATGAAGTTTCTTTGTGGTATGCTTTATCTCCAAAAAAAAAGTAACTACTATAAAAGAAAAGAGAAAAGATTGTTATTCAGTAATTTCATTTATTCAGTTAAGTCCAACTACCAGAAAAATGCCTCTTCACAACAATTCATTTAAAAACTCTTGTTGGTCTCTGCTATCCTTCCCTTTTATTAAATAGCCAAGGGATTTGTCTCGGGTTTCACAATGGGAAGACAGCCAAATTAAAAAAAAAAAAAAGTTACTTTGACTTAGACACCTCTAAACAAAAAGCAAGACCCTAATGTTAACTGGGCTAAATTATTTAGTCGTATAACTCAGTTTATAATAACCAGCAAGGTCAAAAGTCATGATATACAGGACAGTGATTAAAATCAAATGCATAAAAATCATTTGAAAAAAAGCTTTTAAAAAAATAAACATGTATTTCATGAATCGAGTATCCTAATTCACAATGTAGTATCTTAGACTCTATCCTCAAAGCTTTAAATAACAAAAAACAGCTAATTACACAAATGAAAAAATATCAGTACAATTGAGACCAGAAATGACTTCCTAAAGCAAGGGTCACTAAGAAACCCAAGAAGTGAAGACAGATAGACCTGCGGTGATACTGCTTGTTCAATGAATGACTTCCCATCGGCTTCCCCTCTCTCCTCCAGGTGAATGCCCACTGTGGATGTGGAAAGCCAGCTCCAGTACAACTGTTTGCACATCACAGCTACAGGTCTGCACCAAACGAGACACCAAAATATCCACACTGTTTACACCTACCCTGGCTCTTCCTCACTTAGAAATGCTTTTGCACATGCTCCTTTTCTCTTCTCTCCTCCCAAGAGTCACCCTCCCACTCCTTCTACAGCACCCCCTTACAAATCCCCAATGCACTCCTCATAGCCTCGCTGTCTCTACATATTTCCGTTTGCTCAGGTGGAGGTTAGCCAAGTTCCATATGTTAACTCAGCAACAGCTATGCTTAAACTAAGTTTTAACCCAATCCTTGCCAAGAATACTAACCTGTTAATTTATTACAATTTCACCTTATTTAAAATATTGGCCAGGTTATCTTTCCACTAAATGTATTATGGTCCTAAATGGGAGTTATACATAGTTTCCAACTCAATTTAAAGGGATATTTTTCAAATTTCTAGCTCAAGTTCTACTTCTTTAATATCAATCTATGACTTCGTTTTTATAGGCAGCTTTTTTTTTAATGTTAAGACTATCAAATATTTAGGTGTTATTAATGACCTATTTCTAGATTAGAATGGAGTAAGTCAAGACAGATAAAATGTTACACTGAATGCTCTATCTTTGGAACTAAGAAAGTAAAAAGTTTACATCTGCCAGATTCTGGAAAATGTTTTACTATTAACAAATTTTATAACCAAAACCAGAAAGGGTTATTAATCTTGTAGGAAAATACAGTCCCCTAACAATTGCAACCTACCCAATGCCATTTTTTTCCTCTATGGTCTCCTTTACTTATGAAGATGTAAAACATGAAACACTGCTACCTCTCCCAACAACTCCCCAAGAACACTGCTCCATTAGAGTGCTAGGCGGGAGTAAGGGTGAGGGGGTGCCATGAGAAAGATCCTTTCTTATTGCTGGGACTGCAGGTGGGAGGATCAGATAGCTATTCTTGGTCACCCCAACTGGAAATAGGAAAGAATCTTTGCTTTAGGGGAAAAAAAGTTATAAAGAGAATTCAGCTTACAGAGTTTAAGTGCTAAGTGTCTATTGGTACTCTAGTGAGATGACTTGGGAACCATCTTTTAGAACACTGCTACTCTAGTAAAGTTCCTGTTGAGCTCCAAACAATGAGGTTACCAAAACAGACTTCAAGAACATAACCAATTCATAAAAAGGGGCCAACCTAACTGTACTTTCCATGAAAGTTCTCCCTTTCCTGCTCCCATACACGTCACTCATTTCTATCTGTATCTCTGCACAAGCTGGTTGCCCTATCACCATCTTTCTGATAATCTAACTTCATAACTTCCTTCAAAGTTTAGTACAAATTAGGATATGAATATGATGGTATGCTATAAAAATAGCAAGTAAGGCATTCAAAGAAAATGAGGAGGCTCATATGATCTGAGAATGACGTAAGCAAATCAAGAAAACAATATATACAATGACTACAATCATGCAAATAAAAACAATACAAAATAGCAACTGAATTCAGGACACGGATTCCAGGACCAAAACTGAATTCAGCTGCCAAATGCTTTTGGAAATCAAATAGGGCATCCCTGGACAGAAGCAAGTTTTGCTTAACTATTTTTCTTTGTTACAAGGGAAAGAAGAAAATGTAGGGAAATTACTGTGAGATAAGAATATAGACTTTTTTTTTTTAGGCAGTTGGGGTTAAGTGACTTGCCTAGGGTCACACAGTAGACATTTTTTTTTAAAGATCTAAAAATTGAACTCCTCTAAACCTTACACAAGAACAGTGAGGTGGCACAGTGGATAGAGTACTGGGCCTGGAGTCATGAAGACTCATCTTCCTGAGTTCAAATCTGGCCTCAGACACTTACTAGTTGTGTGACCCAGGGCAAGTCACTTAACCCTGTTTGCCTCAGTTTCCTCATCTGTCAAATGAGCTGCAGAAAGAAATGGCAAACCACTCCAGAATCTTTGCCAAGAAAACCCTAAATGGAGTCATAACAAGTCATACGTATGTCTGTCACACGTCTACAACAACTAATCAACAACAAACCTCAACCACCATATTAATTACTCTCTTGCTTTGCACTCCTTACCACATACAACCACCAACTTAATTTGTAAGCCACTTACTGGAACTAAAAACACAGGTTTCCACTGAAATAATATTATACATGTCAGTTAGGGAGTTGGGTTACCCAGTAAAAACCTAACAGCTTACAAACTCCTAATATTACTGGGGAGGTGGTGAAGTATCATAATTAGAATTACTAACCTAACTCCTCTGTAACAATATTTCTTTAGGAAAATGTATTTGGAGTTCTAACTTTGGACTCTAGGAATACATTCAGTCATTCATTCAACATTTACTAAGTAGAGCAAGGTGGTACAGCGGATAGAATACTGTACCTAGAATCAGGAAGAACAGAGCTCAAATATAGCCTCAGAAACCTTTTAGCTGTATGGTCCTAAGCAAGTCACTTAACTTCTGTCTGCCTCAGTTTCCTCATCTGCAAAATGGTGATAATAACAGCACCGACCTCCCAAGATTGTTATAACGACCAAATGAGATAATTTTGTAAAGTGCTTTAGCACAGTGCCTGGCACACAGTGAGTACTACATAATTGTTACCAATTAGTAGTTATTATACTGTGCTAGGCACAAGGGGAGATTGAAAGAAAAACAAAGGTATGGCTCCTAATATCAAGAAGCTTATGATTTTACATCAGGAGGTCCATCTCAGTTCATCTGCCAAGTAACACATGAATGAAGACCTCCAGCTCCCAGTATTAGTGGTGGCTCCTATAGCATTGGTGGGTAGTAGGAAGGGAAGTAGGGATGGATGAAGACACTGGACAGGACTAGGTCTTCTTGATGGTATGTTCAAATTATGTATCACATCTGCATCACATTTATATCATGCAATTTAGCATTGTCTTCTCAAATAAGTTATAAGTAGGAACCCTGTCTTTTACTATTTATGTATCCCCTATTTGAACAAGAACATTACTAAGCAGATACTACTACTGCTGATTAATTTTGGGATGCCTAAAGCCACCTCTTACAGAGTGAAACAAAACTTAAATGGCTAATAAATACTTGTTGAATGAACAACTAAACTTCCCTATCATATTTTACATGATAATTTGTAGCCTATATTTAGTTTGTCTCATTTGTAGGGATAACTGTGCAACGAAAACTGCCTTTACATAAAGTGAAAAAAATCTATATTCACACCATTAAAATTTTTAAAACACTTCACAACTTTCTAGTGTCACAACAAAAACAATGCCATCATTCTGGATTGAGAATTATGAAAATGAATAAGTAAATAATTACAAGCAAGGTAACCACATCATATTTTGATACCTGATAAGATCTTATAGCAAGGCACATTACATACACCCACAGTAATAAACGTAAACCCAACTATTCCACAAAATACAAAGCAAAGAAGCTGTTTCATATGTGGATAGTCTTTTAAGATCACCATAACATCAGATGGTTAATGAAATAGTTCCAGAGCATAAGCTTAACTAAATGTTCCATATGTATTTGTACTTATTTTCTTAGGACTAAATATATCCTATAGGAACATGTGCATGTGAAAAATAAGAATAAAAATGTTTATAAAATGCTATTCCACTGGACCAGGGAAACTTATCATGGGCACCTCTGGCAACTGGTGAAGTCAATGGACCCCTTTCTCACAATGTTTTTAAATGCACAAAATAAAATACATAGGATTCCAAAGAAAGCAATTATATTTAAATAGTCATCAAAAGATTGTTTTTTTTAAAAGTTCACAGACCCAGGTTAAGAATTCCTGTTCTAGACCAGTGGTGTCAAACTTCAATAGAAATGGGTGCCACTAACCTGTACATAATCCCAGTAAGCCACATACTGACTTGGTTTTAAAATGTAATGTTAACTATCTATGTTTTATTGTATTTTTAATTATTTTGTTAAATAGTTCCCAATTACATTTTAATCTGGTTCAGTTGTAAATGTTATGCGCTTCATATTTGAGAACTCTGCTCCAGATAATATAAATTGGTCCATCATCACAGAACCCTGCACTTTTCTTTGCTTAAACATATAATACTATCTTCTACTATAGGCAGTAACATATCTATAACATTTGAAGAATTAGTAAATTTGGAAAAATGAAAATGTCTGCTACCTACAGGTTAACCCTTCAAGCACCAAGACTTTTTTCATTCCTCTTCAATACATTCTGAAATTGTTATATACTTTCCTACTTTAGTAAACAGGAGGTAATAAGCATAATTTAATAACAACTAAGGATCAATATTATGATTAATTACTATACTATGATATTAAGAAAAATCTATGACACTGGATTAAATATGCAATGATGGCCCCTGAATACACTCTGGAATTTGCTTTATTAAATTCCTAGTATTATCTTGACTTACTATTTTTTTGCCTTTTTCTCATAAAATTTGAGTGCCCAAATACGTAAGACATACTGTGTAATGTAGCTGCCTATCTATAAGCAAATGCTGAAGAAATCTTTATCTAAGTGGTCTTTTAGTGCTTAATAGAGTCAACATCATAAATAAACAAAATTAACATTACCAGTCTATCACTTTTAGGAGTATTCAAAACACTCTCTTATTTGAGCATCAGCAATTGCTTCAATCTCCTATGGCTTCAATACACTTTAATTCTGGGTAAAATTTATATCATGCTATGAGAATCTGCAAAGTACTTTACACACACTTTATTTCATATGACCCTCCTACTAAGACTGTAAAGCAGATAGTATAGTTATTATTATTATTTCCTTCTTTATAGATGAGGAAATTGAGGCTTAGAGACATTTGCCTACGATCACTTAGGTAGTCATTGCTGGGGGGGGGGAAGGGGGGAACAGACCGACCAGTGTGGGGCAAAGAGAACACGGCACAGAAGTTTACAATTCATATTCAAGTCTCTCCTGTTCTTTCCTACCTCCAAGTCCAGCATTCTTTCCACTACACCATACTGCCTCATTTTCTTCATTTACACTAACTCCATGGAGAAACACTGCCATCTTATGGATCTTAGGATACTACCACTAAACATCACTGAAACTAATTGTTTTCACAACTATAATTGGCTGTTTGATGTAATTAAATAAATATCTGCAGGCAAGCAATGTTCAAGACAATGTAGACAAATTATGTATAAGGAAATTTGCTGAGCATTAATTCCAGTTTTTAGAATTTGTTAAAGTTGAATTATCTGAGTACCACAATCAAGGTTTTACACACACACACACACACACACACACACACACTCTGCAGTTTATCGCAGAGCTCTATCCACAAGGCCTAAAAAAAGAACATTCAAACCGGCAGGACAACACGTGGGCAAGTGCACTGGAAACTACAGTCCAGCACACCAACCATGGCCCGCTGCTCTACTGCCAATCAAATCAGCGCTTGCCCACCTCTCATGAAAAATGAGGCCATTTGCTCGCCGTCATGGTTAACTGTACCTGCAGTGCTTGTTCCTGGATATCTCGAAATAATTCCATATCTTTTTCAGTCATGACTTCCTGGCTTCCAAAAAGTCGCTCTTCATTTTCCTGTTTTCCATCCCAGCCATCCTGATTGTCTATAAATTAAAGAGAGAAGTTAGAGATTATAAAAACAATCTAAAGCTCTATACCTATTTCAATATTTTTAAGATAGTTGGCCTTAAAGGTAGTTATATGTATATGTAAACATAATGTTTGTATTTTGACTTGACTTAATGTTTCCTAATAAACATCACACATCTCATTTTAAATTCTATTACATTATACTACACACAGAGAAAAAGGAAACTGGAACACAAGTAATTTAATTTGACACAGTATAAAGATTATAGTTTTATGTCTCTATATTTGTCACTGTCCAAAGTTTACATATTTCTTATTCCCCTGGTACTAAGGAATTGCAGCATATGTTAAGGAGCTCATTAGTGTCAATGTCAAGAAAAATTGAATAAAAGGCTTGGATATTTGGCTCTTTTAATATTTTACTTATTGAGAACTTCACAAGAATACTACATTCTTATCCCTGCAGAAAGGTGGCTTTCATAGAAACTATCTCGATCACTTAAGACCCAGGAGTCATGAAGTACTTGATAGAAATGTAATCAACAATTCATTGTATAAACTAGATACTCTTTTGAAACACAAAATCCACAAACTTGAGAATCATATATGCTAATGCTCTGGATGGTATGTTAACAATCTGCTAAGTGATACATCTTCAATTGTGCAAAGAAACCTATGAATAGAGCATCTGAGTTTTATGTAGATCATTATCTTTTGTATCTGAAGTTGACACTGTTGATATTATCATTTCCTCTGTGGATGAATGTGATTGAAAAGAGCAATTTGTGACAGACGGCTCTTTTCACATCAATTCTACTTATAGGCTTTCTGTTATTCATTTAAAGCACAAAGAAAGGTCAAAGACACACTCTTCACAACATTTCTAAGCTGAAAGAAATACTTAAAATTTGAAGCTATGAATTTAATATGAATTTAATGCCCCCTACTGCATGATGCAGCTGTATGCAAGAACATTTTTAGTACCACAAGAAGTAACAATCCAAAAAAACACAGATGTTCACTCAAGCTCTACAACTCAAAAGAGAAAATTATGAAGGTTATTAAAGCAAATTTTCACACCTATTATAGGACTTTAACTGTGAATTCATTCTATTTACTTTATATAAAAAAGGTTATTTTAAAAATACTTTGTATTATGATCTGTTCCACAAGGCCTAGAGTTCTAGCCCATACAAAGGATGTGGATGAGATCTGTGAAATCCAAAGGAGAAAATGTAGAGAGGGAAGGTAAGAGGACTGAAACTTGGAGCACTTCTTAAAGAATGAGCCTCTGGGAATCCAAGAATGAATAGTCAGGTAGGAAGTAAAGCAGGCAATAATAATGTCATGGAAGTCAACAATGGAGAGATGATCCAGTGTTAGGGACATCAAGGAAGGATAAAGACTAAGAAAAAGAACCTCAGATTTGGCCATTTCAGTAGAAAGGCAGGGACAAGGCTGAATGCTATCCTAGGCTACCTGAAAAGAGATAGAGGGTCCTGAAAGGGGGGTTTGGGAAGTGAGACATGTTGAAGTTAACAGTCCTGCTCTGTTCTGTCCTCATAAGACCACACCTGCATTCAATTCTAGTTGTCAAACCTGAAGGAAGAACATGAACAAGCTGTCACACTTTCAGAGAAGGGTAGTAACAAAAATGGTAAAGAACTAGAGGGTCCTCCACAGGAAGAATGATTAGCCCGGCGAAGAGAAGACTCAGGGAAATTTGACAACTATTTTCAAGTCTTTTGAGGCTCACGTGGGAGAGGGACTAGACTCAAAGGGCTGAATTAGGCACAACATATTACAGAGAATCAAATATTGGCTCAATGAAAAGAAAAATTCTGAACAAGAGCTATCAAAAAGTGGAAATGATGTCTCAGGAGTTAGTGGAGACTCTTCTGTCCCCCCCACAACTGGATGCTTTCAAGCAAAAAATGGATGACAATTTGTTGGGGATAGTGTGGAATTAATTTAAATTTTTCATTAGGTATAGATTGAACTAGATAACTTGTAATGTCCCTTTCAACTCTGATATTTATGATCTTGTGACTGATCCCAATGAAGACCACATTCTAGCTGGGAAGGAAGTGACACCACAGAAACTTTATATTCTTGGCTGAATGGCTGGCTGATCTCCCACTCACCTAAAAAGCTCATTAACAAAGTGCAGAAAGAGAAATTATAGAGTACTGGAGCTAGAAGGGAACTTAGAGATCACCTATCCAGTCCAATCGCTTCATTTTATAAATGAAGATATCAAAATTTAGAAAGGTTAACTGACTGCCCAAGAAGACAATGAGTTAAGAAAAGAATCAATAACTCATCAGTTACTTTAAAGTCAATGAACATTTTAATTTTTACTCGAATGCCAAAATCATGAAACAATCTAAGGTACTTTTCTGTGGTTTAATGTATGAATCAACTTACAGTGATAAAATAATATGACCGATATTTTTAACAAAAGATACAAATGGAACTGAAAATACAAAGGATTCCCTTCTGCACTTCAAAAAATCAACTGCTGGATCAAAAAGGAATAAGGAGGCAGTGAATACAGTCACCTGCCAACATAGATTCAAGAGTGAGGGGACAAAGGTAAGAAATTTTCTAACCAGTACATAAGAACATGCCTCTGTCATTCAACTTCCAAAGTATCTCAGACAGGGGCAGGTAGGTGGCGCAATGGATAGAGCACCGGCCCTGGATTCAGGAGGACCTGAGTTCAAATCCGGCCTTGACACATAACACTTAACTAGCTGTGTGACCCTGGGCAAGTCACTTAACCCCCACTGCCCAACTAAAAATAAAAAATAATTAAAAAAAAAAAAACAAAAAAAAACAAAAATAAAGTATCTCAGTCTTCTATTCCTTATTTCCTTTCTATGCAATTGTTTTCTACCTCATTTATATCGTGTAGGTCTCCAGAGTTAAGGTAAAGGGTAAACTAAAGCTAACTGTTGGCTTTATCTGCACAGTTCATTTAAAAAAGCCTTTTCTTGCCTAACCATGTGTTAGACCTGGTGTTGTCCCTGCCATAAATTTATGGAGTTACTAGCTTTATGCGTTGAAAAGTAGAAGCTTAGTTTGGTAAATAATGCTTTTTATACTGTGGCCCTACACCAGTGAAAAGGAACAATGTAATTCTTTAAAATTACAAATAAATTTGCAAGATTTTTAAGTGAAGCATCTACAACCCTATTCCATAAATGTAAAGCCTAATTTCACCTTTAACAATCAACAGCATTTTACCCACCTCCATACTTTCAGTTTCTCTGATAAGACACAGGTGTGCCATACAATTCTCTTGCAGTGATTCAATATCTATGTTCAAAATATCAGCAAGCCAAGTCTCCATCAAAAACCATTCTCTCCCCTCTTCCAGTCTTTCAGCCAACCTATTCCTAAAACTTATCTCTGGCCTTTTTCTGTATTTATATCTGTATCTTTAACAACTTTTTCTTATCTTTAACAATTTTTCTTGTCACCAAAAATGTTTCTTCTATGCACAAAGAAATCAAATTTGGATAATTAATATGATTTCAAATTACAGATCTTTAAAAACGCTTTTGCTAACAAGAGAGCAAACCCTTACCTGCAGGCCACTCTGAAGTGCTTGATTTCCTGTTGCCCTTTTTCCTGATCCTGTATTGCTCGGAGTAGTCCACCACTTCCCCACGAGCTTTCCGCCCATCAGGGGAGGGGGTGAAGAATTTGGTAAGGCCATCAATGAGCCCTTTGGTTTTCTTATTGAATTTCAAGGGTGTACTACCATCTCTGCAGAAGTCTAAGTCCATTTGCTCCAAATAGCCTTCTTCTGATGAAGATGCTGATTGGCTGGAGAGAGTAATTTTACGTTTCCGACCCCGACCAGGTCCAGTTCGAACTTTGCTGAAAGGGCCTTTTGATCTAAAGAATGATCAGAAGAAAGAAAAATATCAAAATGCTGTCCTGGATGAGGAAAGTTTTTTGAGGCCTCTGCTTTATCACATGATTAGCTGATGCTTCTAAAACATTTCCAGTTCTTACCCATCAACAAGAATTTATTTAGCACTTAATATGGTCTAGGCACTGTGGGGACAAAAATACATAGAAGGAAACAAATCTACATTTCAGTTTCTCCCACTTCATAGTAAGGGGATTATATTAGATCAGTGCTTCTCAACTTTTTTGGTATTATGGACCCCTTTAGCAATCTGGTGATGCCTATAGACTCTTTCTCAGAATAATGGTTTGTTGCCTACACTCATAATGGAAGAAAATGCTAAATTTCAGTTAGCAGTTAGTGATAAGATGCAATTTTTTTCCCATGCAAATTTATGGGCTTTCTGAAATCTATCCATGGACCTCTAAGGGGTCCATGGATCCCAGGTTAAGAAGCCTTGTAACTAGATGATCTCCATAAAGTCCCATCAAGCAAAAAGTCTATGAGTCTATGAGTTCAATTCTAGCTTTATGTCAAAGCATATAAAAGAATTACAGTCATACACACTCTGCCCTAGAGAAATCTTGATTATTATACTCAAACTAGTGTTATATGGTGACTTTCAATGGTCAAAAATTAAAACATGCTAATTAGCATTAGCCCAGAAGCCCAGAGTTCAAAAATCATTATGTTTTAATAAAAATGTTTTAATACAAAATACAAACTATAGCACTTGATGTATATATTCTTAGACTGCTAATGCTCACTCATACTTCAGGTACATTATCTTCATGACAGTGTTAAGTTATTGTTAAGGAGGGGCCGAGGCAAAAAGTCCTACAAATCTAAAGATATATTTAATCATATTTTCAAGGCTACAGCACAAGCCAAACTATACAAGTATGTCCTCTGTTCTCTTCTTGCTAGTTACTATCTCTCTGCCTTTGCTCACAATTGGAATGCATGCTAAAATGGATTCTTTCCTCATCTCTGTCTATTGAAGTCCCTACTTTTCTTTAATGTCCAACTTATCGGTCACCTGTTTCATGAAGCTTATGATTCACAAAAGGAAGAAGAAATCACAATGGATTTGTAGTCAAAAGGATTTGGGGTTCAAATCTTGGTTCTGCCATTTATTTATTACCTACATGACTTTGGGTAAGTCTTTTCTCCTTTCTAGGCCTTGGTTTCTTCACCTATAAAAATGAGGGAAATGGTCTAATTGATATCTAAGGTTCTTTCTATGAATATCATAGAACTCTATGATTTCAATATCCTATAGATAACAAAAAAACTAAAACCAAAGGGCAAAAAAATCAATCTCTGATTTCTATTTCATCTTCACAGCTAACTTAGCTCCCACCACTTACAGTAGTCTAGATCCTTGCTAACTGAGGATAAAATATCCAAATAATATTGCCATCAAGGGACCCTGGAAAGGACAGGGTCAGGGGTAGGAATACAGAAGCAGGCAGTCAGAAAATGGCATGAAGAGGAAAATGTGAGTGAAATAGGACAGAATGGGACTATATCTGTGCCTTCATTGGTATAAGAAACTTTCAATTAGAAAACTCCCTCTACTAAAGCAAATCAGCCCCTTCATTGAAACGTACAGAGTTTGAGAATCTCCTTGGGCACTAAGAGGTTAAGGAAATCGCCCAGAATCACAGACAGTATGTGTCAGAGGTTACTTGTGAACCCAGCTCTTCATGACTTGGAAGCTACCTCTCCACCCTACTACACCATGCTGAATGGAATTGTCAAAGGGCTAGCAAGTGATAGATCAGTGGGCTACATTACAGATATGGTTTACTAGATTTAGCAAAACATTTGGCAAAGCCTCTCATGCTATTCCTGTGAAGGAGATGGAGAAATATAGACTAAATGATAGTACTGTTAAGTAGATTTGGAATTAGTTTATTATTGGCTATAACCAAAAAATAATCTCTAATGAAACAAATTTGAAAGTCTCTAGTAGAATGTTCCAGTGATTTTTGTTTGATCCTTTTATTCTCCGCAAAGTGATTTTCTATCTCATTCACTGCAGCTGTTATAAGCCTTGTAATACCACACCCCACCTCCAAACCTCAGAGCTTCATCTTTTACTGGGAAAATACTGATCACTTGCTGCAAACTCCCTATTCTCCTCTTCTTGTTTTAAACTACTTTGACATCATCCTCAACTATTTCTTCCTTTCCTCCAATCTCTGATGAAGATGTAGCCCCTTCTGTTACCCCAGGGTCAACTTTTTCTCCACATGTCTCGATCCTATCCCTCTCTCATCTCCTTTAGCAGATTATCTCCATTATTATCGCATATCTCTAATCTTCAATGTTTCTATTGGTTCCTTCCCTGCTGCCTACAAACATACTCAGGTCTCATTAAAGTCTCATTTAAAAAAAAAAAGAACACCTTTACTAGATCCTACTGTCTTTGCTAGCTATCGACCTATAGCTCTCTTCCCTTTTTCAGTCAATTCCTTAAGCTGTCTACACTTACTGCCTTCTACTTCTTCTCTTACTCTCTTCTAAAACCTCTGCAATCTGGCTTCCAATCTCATCACTCAATGGAAACTGATCTCTCAACAGTTACCAATGACATAAGTGCAAAATCTGACAGTCCTTTCTCATTCTTCATCCTTGTGATCTTTCTAAAGCATCTGAAACTGTTCACCATCCTCTCCTCATGGATACTCTCTCTTCTTTGGGTTTTCAGGACACTATTCACTTATTTTTCCTCCTATCTATCCGAACATTCCTGTTGCTATAACTGAGACAGTTATGTCTTCTTCTGCTGAATCTCCTTTGGTAGATAGCATACATATCATGACCTCTAAATATAGATGAACCTAAGGCTTAATTCTGAGCCCTTTTCTTATCTCTCATCATTTTTTGTGCTCTCTCTCTCCCCTTCTCTTCTCTTACTCTCTCTCCCCCCCCACCTCTTTCCCTCTGTGACCTCATCACCTCATATGGACTTAATTATCATCACTACTCAGGATATTCCCATTGCTATGTCATCAGCCCTAGTCTCTCTGGTCCAATATTAACAATTGCCTAATGGATATTTCAACAAATGCAACATGTTGAAAAGAAAACTCATTATGTTTCCCTAAAGCCAACTCTCTTCCAGACTTTCCCATTTCTTCTTCAAGGGCATCATCCTCTTTTCAGTCACCCAAGTTTATAATCTTGGAGCCATTCACAACTACTTTTACTCACAACACACATCCAATCAGTTGCTAAATTGTCATTTCTACCTTCACACAATTGTCACATTCATCTCCTTTTCTCCACTCATATAATCACCACCCTAGTTCAGGCCCTTATCATCTCTTACCTACATTACTAAAATAGCTTCTGTTTTTCCTCATTCCAATTCATCCTCTACATAGCTGCCAAAGTCATGCTCCTGAAAAATAAGTCCTACAATATCATCCACTCACTTAATTAAATTCCAGTGGCTCTCTATTAGTGTAGGTCAAATATAAGTTTCTTTGTTTAGCATTTAATACCCTTCACAATCTGGCCTTTACCTAATCTTATTACACATTACTTTCCCTCAACATACCCTATAATTCAGCCACACTGAATTTCTGTCTCTCATAAGCAACACTTTTATCTTCTTGCCATGCCTTTCTCCATGACTGGAATGTTCCCCCTCCTCACTTCTACCTCATGTATTCTCTAGGTTCTTTCAAGAACTCAGTTCAGGAACCATTTTTATAAAGTCTTTCCTGATGCCCACAGGTGATAGTACCTTCCTCTCCAAATTACCTTGTAACCATCTTGTATATGTTTTATGTATACCTATATTATGTGCATTCTGTCTCCTCAGATTAGATACTAAGCTCCTTAAGAGTTGGGACTTCTTAATTTTTTTCTGTGTAACCCCCAATGCCAGCACAGTGCCTGGCACAGAGTACATGCTTAATGTGAATGTCTGTTGACTGAATGGATAATTAACATTTGAGGTAAAGGCAGTGATGAAAGGCTTCTCAAATTTACAGAAGTCACAAATCTAGAAGGGATAAGTACCACAGTAAGTAACAGCCCACAAAAATATCTTAACTCATTAGACTACATCATCAAATCAAATAAGACGAATTTTAATACAGTTATGTTCTTACCCCTAAAGTCAAGAAATCAACTTCACAGGCACAAAATGGAGGGGTGAGAGTAGAGGAGTAGGAGTGGAGTGGCTATATAAATCATTTGTCTGGAAAAGATCTGGGAGTTTTAGTGGACTGCAATGTCCATGTGAGTCAACAGAATGATATGGCAACCCAGAAAGCTGTTGACACATTAGGCTACATTAAGAGAATGTGATATGTGTGTGTTGGGGGGAAGGAGAGGAGGGGAAACATGAAAACTGAAAGCATGTCATGATATCATGGCCCAGATCCATCATGAAGTTGGAAGAATTGGGGATTTTAAGTCTGGAGAAGAAAAGACTAAGAGACTGAGGGTTGTGAAGGGGATGGGACACGACAGCTGCCTTCAAATATCTGAAAAACTGTCGTGTAAAAGAGGGATTAGATTTATTCTGCTTGGCCTCAGAGGGGAAGCAATAGACAAAACCTGCAGAGATGAAAATTTAGACTTGATGGAAGGAAAAATTTCCAAACAATGAAAGTTATCCAAAAGTGGAATGGGCTGTTGTGGGAGACAGTAGTTTCTCCTTCCCTGGAGTTCTCCAAGTAAGGGTACTCTTGGAGTGAACAAGATGGCCCCTGAAGTCCTTTTGAAGTCTTAGATTCACAGCTGAATCAATCCTTTCTACAACATCCCTGACAGATGGCCATCGAGCCTTTGCTTAAACAGTTTCATACCCATCACGCATTACTGTCTTTGAAGGAAACGATCAATGGAATAATTAAAACTTCACCTAAGTGAACAGTGATATTTCTTATAAAAGTACAAATTAGTACCATAGAAATTATTCAAGGAAGATAGATAAATCTTCCTAGAATAGGCCCTTTCTTCCATTTTTCTTCTATTTGATCCTCCTACAGACAGTACTTACACTGTATTTTGTTTCTTTAACCTGTTTTTGGGCCGTCCTATTGGATTGGCATAGCGCCGTTTTATCTGTGCTGCTTTTTTATGTAGAAGTTTTCTTCCTTTTTTCCGAGGTCGACAAATCTGACATATCCACATGCCTATAAGAAAATAAAATCTCACGTCAAACCAGTGATGGTACAAATAGTCTCAATGACTTCAGAAAACACCAAGTTGATAGAAAATGCCATTAGATATTCCTGAATCCTATAAAATGCAAGGTAGTCCTAGAAAGGTCTAACTTCTACAAGACTGTCCAAAATCATTCATGAAATTATACAAGCAGTATAGTCTTTCTGTTCCAACTAAAAAAAAAATAAAAAAAAACTTAGGGAAGATGGGAAGAAACAGCAAGGACTATTTTCCTTTCTATTATTATTCATTACACACACACACACACACCCCTCTCTGACCCTTTCCCCACAAGTACTTGTATAATGATAAAGCATATAAGCCATTCCCACCTTCAGAACCAGAGGAACTCAGTGTATGACCTACACTAGGCTTTTTTTTTACCAACAAGGTAACAGCCTCAGATCAAATGCTACAAATCATAGGAAGAGGTTGAAGAAGGTTAGAAATGAAATCAAGAATTATCAAATATTGACACTGAGTTACCATATGTTCCACAACGTCATTTGTGAAAATTATAGACAAGCCTTATTAAATTCATGCTACAGGAATTCTCCCATGTATAAATAGAAAGACTACCTCCACTTCAGGGAAACAAGTGTTTTCCTACTTATAAGCATCCTCACATAGAAAGCTGCAGAGAATTCTATTATTTTAAGAAGTGGAGAAAGTTATCTTTCATCCACTTCCACAGTGTCCCTTTTCTTTTCCAGTTAGATTTCAGAATGCATCACCTTTTGGCATCCTGGTGAGTGGCGGATCACAGCATTCCATGTGAAAACCTCGGTCACATGAATCACAGAAGAGCATGTTATCCTACAAAAATAACAAGAAAAGGTAGTTCTGCTTAATGTTATGTAACAAAACATGCCTAACAAAACATACCTGACCCATGTCTTCATGAACCCTCATTAGAGTTGGGTTGAATTCTTGAATAATGTGGGTCAACTGAATGAAAAAAGACACCTCCTTAATTTGGACTAAGAAAGTGAGAGACCAATGCGAATTAATGCAAAGGTGTACTTTATAGGATATTTTTAAAGAACTATAATTTCACTACTTTCAAATACATATAATAACCAGAATTAATCTAAAAAAAAAAAAAGTATCGTCCAATAGAGGTCCTTACAAAAATCTGCTTTAATTCCAAGGTAAGAATGATCTGTAATTAGCATGCCAATTAATGTCATGTAAATAAGTGCTTCTAACTTACCTAAGGGTATCAGGAAAACAGCTGGTTCTTTTAAGTGGTTTAAACATTCTCTCTAGAATGCCAAATATCTATTTATAAACAGAATGTCTAATCAGGAAAGCAAAAGTACTCACTGCATTTTTGCCCTGGTCACGACAAGAGCTGCACGTTTTACACTCAATGCACTGCCACCGTAAGGCCTTCACTCGAACTGTTAATTCTGGAGAGAACTTTAAACAGGATGGATGACCTATCAAAAGAGGATAGACTGACACTGAAACAATCATGGATTCTATTAGTGAACAGAAATGGCAATATACAAAAAAGGAGAATTAATCACAGATATAGTTTTCAATATACAAATATGTATACTTAAGTATATGTGGAAATACATATTTGTATTCTTTTTATCTTAATATTTATGAAGACATCACAGGTGGTTTTCATTGTTGGATTTAGTTCTCCAGATCAACGAGCAATTTAAAAACAAAGAAAATATCACACTGGATTAAGTTTGGTAAAATCCAAAATTTTATTTATCTCGTATCTCATCATGTAAATTGTGAATAGTGCACAATATAAAATGGCCTCCCCATTATTAGTGGTATACCCTGAATATTATAATGAAAAAAGCAATCTATTCAAAAAAATACATACAGCAGTTTTATATGTAACTGCAGAACTGCCAACAACCAACACTTAAATAACTGAATGAAACTATAGTATATCAACAACAGAATGAAATTATCATTTAAAAATAAATAAACACTGAAACATCTTATAAATGTGAGTATACTACATAAACGTCAGTTATTTATTGATATAGGCCTGTGATTTCGTTGGTGTAGGTGAAGGAACTCCTTTCACTGGCAGAAATCAATAACTTCTCTTTAATTTAAACTCAGAGAGTTGCCTGTGGCACTGGAGGTTAAGTGGCTTGACCACAGTCACAAAGACCACTTATGTCCAAGAGAGTATTTTACCCCAAGTCTTCTTGCCTCTAAGACCAGGCTCTATCTATTATATCAATGATCTTCAAAGTTGGCACAGGGTCATCGGGGAAGGCCATGGCCTGACTCCAAGGGGATGCATATAAGATTAGCCAATCACAGGGCACAAAGCTAGGTCTCATCCCATCTTCCCCAAGATAACTAATTGTGAGGCTTGACTCCAATACAACCACACCTAACCTTCCCCCCTACACACATTTCCCCCATTCCAACCCCACCTTTCACTGTGCAAGTTCCAAGTGACCTTTAGTGGGAGCTGAGTTATAAGCCCCTGGGTACAGTTTTAACCTAACCCCATTCCCTCCTTTCCCAGGCACCACAGGAGGTGCTGATCAGGTGGGAAAATTCATTCATTTTCATTCATATCCTGTGTTTGTCTGTCTATCTCTGTCTCTCTCTCCTGTTAACATTTATCACTTTATTTGGATTTGTTTGTTTAAAGCTAAATGCATAATAAAATTATTTTTAAAAGAAAATTTCTTGAAAGTGATTTCAAACAAAACCTTTAGGATAAAATGTAATGTGCTCACACTTGTAAAATATAACTTTCTCTTCTAAAAGTGGGTAATAAGTTTTCATTTATCTGTTTGTTGGGGTAAAGGGAAAAAAATAGGTTCTTCTTCATTCTCTTAATTTTCTTGTATAACAGGAAAGAATATTCATATGTATAAGATACAAAGTTTAAAAAGGAAAAACATATAACTACAAAATAAGCACAGTTATATTATGAAACCTAAAAGAGGAATTAGAGAGGCAATACAGCATAATGGATAGAAAAGCTGGCCTCACAATCAGGAGGATCTGGGTGCAAGTCATACACTGAATATAAATTAGCTTTATCACTCTGGACAAATCACTTTAATCCCTACAAATTAAGAGAAGTTATTGATTTGAAATATTAATCATTACAATTACACAGAGCAAATTACTTTTGGCATTCTTTTCATTATCAGAGCCACATTTATAAAGTACTTAGCATAGTGCCTGATACATAACAGGTTCTTAATAAATGCTTATCTATTATTCTCCCCTTATTTTATTCGCATCTGTTCATTTAAGTCTTCTCATGTTTCTCTTAATTCCTTATGTTCACTATTCCTTACAACAAAATAATAGTACATGTATTCACATATCACAATTTATCCAGTCATTTCCAAATCAATGGTCATCCAAGTTTGTTTCTAAATTTTGTAACTACAAAAAAAAATGCTATGAAAATTTTGGCACACATGGGGCCTTTCTCTTTTACCTTCTTGGGAAGGTTTAATACTGGTATTACTGGGTCAAAGGTTATATTAAGTTTAGTGACTTTTCTTGAATAATTCCAAACTGTTTTCCAGAATGATCAGACTAATTCACAACTTCATCAATAACATATGACTGTACTTGCCTTCCTAGAACCACTGCAACACTGACTATTTCTGAATTCTATCACTTTGGCCAGCTTGGTGGATGTGAGATCCCAGGTTCACAGATTTAAAACTGCAAGGGATGTCCAAGGGTCATCAAATCCAAAACCTTCACTTTTTTATTCAAATTCAAGTCTAATGACTCCAAATTTGGTGTTCTTTCCAAAGTACCACAATTTAAGTTGCTTTCATTTACATTTTTCTTACAATTAATGATTTTAAATAATCTTTTAGATTGTGGTTGATATTTTCCAATTCTGCTACTGAAACTGCTCATAACCTTGGACTACTAATTTATTGGGGAACATCCCTTGGTCTAATATATTGTGTCAACTGCCTATGTATCTTGGATATCAGGCTTCTTTAATAGATATCTGATGTAAAGATTTTTTTCCTTTCAATATCCCAGTTGCACTGATTTTATTAATGCAAAAGCCTTTTAATTTTATGTAGCAGAAATTCTCTCTTTTATGATTATCTCTATCCTTTGTTAAAAAATTTCCCCCAGCTATATTTATAAAAGGCATCATTAAAATCAAATATTTATTAAGTGCCTACCATGTACAATGCATAGTGTTCCACTAGGGAAACAAAAATGACATAGTTCCTTTCCTGAGGGTAGTTTACAATCAAATAGAGAGCACTATAAATAATTATACAGTTAAATGGGGCAGGGGAGGTAAGACTTTTATATCAATATAAGACAGAACGTGAGAATTACAAAAGCCTAAGATTCTATAGAAGAAAATTGCTCAACAGAGATGGAATAGATATTCTAAAGTACAAAGTTCTGACAAGTAATTTGAATGGAAAAAGCAGGAGCATCTAAAAGAGATTGATGTGGCTATATGGGAAACTCACAGACAAACTCTTTATTTGTAATAGTCATATACAGAATATAGAAATAAATGCAAATAACTCTCAACTGGAAATCACTTCAGGAAACATATGTGAGAAACTAGGTTTATTTCAAGAGAAACGCACATGCACGTGGAACTCTAATCTGAGTACCAAAAAAATGGCACAATTCTGTTAAGAATATAGTCTATAACTGTAAAGCCCAGAATGAGCTGAGGTTTTTTATGAGTAATAAGGACAAGAAAAGGACATTTTTAGTTAGTGCATGGGCAAGAGGATAGTCAAAGGATAGATGGGACCACTGCCCAGCACAGACTGAATGAGTAACAGAACTACTCACACTCCTAATTTGGTTTTATTTTCTAAGAACAATGATATTCATCATTATAAAGTATAAAACAAAGAATGTCTGATAACCTCTTCTAATGTAACGGCTTCTTCTCTACTGCCTACCAACATGCCCAGGTCTCCCCTATCCTTAAAATAAACCTTTACCCCTTCACTAAATACTAATTTTCACCTATAGCTCTATTCCATTTTCAGCCAAACTCCTTGAAAAAGCTGTACAAACTCAGCACCCACAATTTCTCTCCTCTTATTTCATTTATAAACTTCCTGTCTATAATTTGGCTTCCTACCTCTTCACTAAACTGAAACTGCTCTCTCCAAAGTCAATCAGTTAGTCAACAAGAATTTATTAAATAACTACTATGAGCCAGGTACTAATTAAATGACTGGGGATATAAAAAAAAACAAAAGACAGTCCCTGTTCTCAAGGAGCTCAAGGTCTAATGGGGGAGATAACAGGCAAACAGCTGTGTACAAACAAAATGTATACAGGATAAACTGGATGATCTCAGAGAAAAGCACTACCATTAAGGGGGATAGGGAAAAGCCTCTTACAGAGGGTAGAATTTTAGCTGAGATTTGGCATGAAGGACAGCAAGTGAAAATGCCCCAGTGTTAAGACATGGGGTATCTAGTGCAAGAAATACCAAGGAGCCTAATGTATTCTGATCACAGAGTACTCAATCACCAAATCTAATATCTTCTCAATCATCATCATTCTAGATCTCTTTGAAGCATTTAACACTGCTGATCACCCTTCTCCTTGTGAACACGCTCTCCTCTCTGGATTAGGCAGTAGCATAGTAAAAGGGGAAAGAGTACTAAAATATTCTGTGTATTACTAACAAAACCCAACCAGAAGAGATAAAAAAAGAAATTTCTTTCAAAATTACTACAGAATGTATAAAATATCTGAGACCACCTAGTAGGATACAAGAATTATGCCACCACAAACTCTGTAAAAATAAAGACATAAAAAAATTGTAATATTAGTCACAGTTGTCATAGGACTCCAATATAACAATATTCATCTAGAGAAGACAATCTTAACTTTTTTGTGTTATGAACCCCTTTTGGCAGTCTGGCGAAGCCTAGGAACTCCTTCTAAAAATGTTTTTAAATTCACAAAATAAAATACATAGAACTACAAAAATACTGAAATCCAGTTATCAAAATATTTTTAAAACCAAGTTCATGGGGGCAGCTAGGTGGCACAATGGATAAAGCACTGGCCCTGGAGTCGGAAGGATCTGAGTTCAACTCTAGCCTCAGACACATAACACTCACTAGCTGTGTGACCCTGGGCAAGTTCACTTAACTCCACTGTCTAGCCAAAAAAAAAAAACAAGTTCATAGATCCCAGGTTAAGTATCCCTAATCCAGAGGGGGAATAGATTATAAATCTCAAGGGAAATAATGAAAAAAAAAAGGGGGGGGTAAGAAAGGCAACCTAACAGTACCAGATCTTATACTACACTATAAAGTAACCATCATCATCAAAAGTATTTGCTATTGGTTAAAAAACAGAAAAGTTGATCAATGAAATATATTAAGTACAGAAGTTCCCAGAAGAAAATGAACATAGCACCATAATGTTCAATAAATCCAAGGCACCAACTAAGGAG